AAGTGATGCAAAAGTCGATTCCGGATCCAACTATACTAATGATGTATCATTATTTGCTTATCCATCAATGCAATTAACTAAATCTCGGCCTAATTTCCATAATTATTCTACAATTTGTTATGATTCCGGTTTTAACAACAATAAAAGCAATGACAGCAGCAGCAACAACAGCACCAACAATAACCGGAAATTTGACATTACAACAAAGATGCTAAAAATAAATGCTTCAAAATTAAATAATAATATTGCAAATGTTCCGAAACAATTAAATAAGGTAAGATATTTGTGCTTTTTTTTTAAAACAATTTTTCTACCTCTATTTTTTCACTTTTTTTTTTTTTGGAAAAAAAACTTTTACAAAAAATTTCACTTTTTTCATAATTAGTTTTAAAATTCCTAATTTTTGTTTTTTAAATTATAATCCTAATTTTTTTGCAACGTCAATTTTTCTATAATTACAAGAATACAATTCTAATCTTTTTATTCTTTTTGAAATTGCAGTTTTTCTTGAGTAAAGTTTTTGCAAAAAATTTTCAACTTTCTGGTTGTAAATTTTAGAATTTAAAAAATTTCAATAATATTTTGAAAAAAGTGCAAATAATTGATGAGATTAAAGCATTGTCATTTTAATGAAAAACTATTGAGTGAAATGCTTAAATACTAAATTTTTCTTCCTGTTTGTTTCGAAAGTACAAGTTTTTTTTGTTTTTTTTTCTGTTTTTTTTTTCTGTTTTTTTTTTTTTTTTTTGTTTTGGTTTTGCAATAAATCAAAAGGATAAACTTAAAGACATGCTATTTTAAATTTGATTAAAACTATAAAGTACGAATAAATGGTAAACGAATTTCTTCCCTACGTTTTGTTTTTTGCTTAAAATGAAAACGTAAAATGAATTAAAATCAAATTTCATTATTTTGTATGATACATTACTAATATTATTCCATTTCCATTACACGTCTTTTTATCATTTTTCCTTGTCGCTTCAAAAAATTATAAGTACTATCATTTGCATAATACTTATTTTTCAAATAATATAATTTATTCTTCCTATTACGCATTTTTTAAAATAATTCATTAAGTACTGATAGTCTCTTAAGCAATAGCTTCTTTAATTTAGCCATGAAAATGTTCAATTTTAAGATATTAATTAGCATTATTAATTGTATAAATATTCTTTTCCGTAAGTTTTTTTTTTTTGTATAACTGAAGGAGATGAAAGAGAGGAAAATGATATGAGGGAGTGGTAGGATTTGAAAATTTTCATAAAACTAAATTAAGTTAAAAATTTTTCGTAACGAAGAATTTCGTGTCATCATGTGCCTTTTAAATTTAAATTTTGCTATTTATACGATTGTATAATTCCTCTCTCATTTCTTTTCTTTTTTTGATTTTATTTTTCATATGAAGTGATTAATTAAAACTTTCATTGCGTGTGCATTTGTGTTTGTCTTTGTGTGTATGTGCGTGTATGTACGTGTACGTATATGTAATATATATGTGCATGTATATGTATGTAGATACATGCGTAGATATGTATGTATATGCGTACACGTGTATGTGTACGGATACATTAGTGCGTGTGTGCGTCCATATGCGTCAATTTTAAAGGATGAAAATTCCAATAAAACTTATCTCTGAATTGTAATCTAATCGAATAAAATTTAAAAAAATTTTGAATCTAAATGAGATATGCAAATTTTGGCCATTTTTGAATGAGAATTGAATTATCCCATAAAATTCCTATTAATTATTTCTTTCAATAGCTAAATCAATGAATTCAAATTGAACGAAACAATTTAATTATAACGATTACTAATTAATTTAATGAAGTGATATAGTGACATTTGTTATATATCTTTCATGCATTGTAAAGCAGCAATAAAAGTGTAAATATTTCCATTCTATCAAATATTTTTTGAAATAGAATTTTAACTTTCACAGAAAAAAAAGGAAAAACAAATCAAGAAATCTTTTTTTTTTTTAATTTGAATGACTTCCCAATGAATAATATAACCTTGAAAATTCATTTTACTTCAATAACGAATATATTTCTATCTACTAAAGTTTAAATTACCTTATACAAATTTAGAAAAAAATATATTTCAGATTTAATATTTTCTTGATATAATGCAAAAAACATGCATACATATAATTCTTACAACTTAACAAAATTTTATAACTTAATAAAAGTGTCATCAATTTTATCAGTTTGCAAAAATTTAAACTTTCAATGCATGAAATATATTTTATATATATCTCACAAAATTATCACAAATTTTTATATTTGTTAATAATGATTTATAATTATGATTTACATTTGTTAATATTAATGATTAAATAGTAATCAATTCTAATAAGGCTTTTATTAAAAGATCAATTAGTAAAGATTTTGAAATAAGTTCAGGTGAATGATTTAATGTAATATAAAGAGAATAATTTAATTCAAATAAATCTCACAATCAAATTGCTAAGTAAAATTTGATCAAACAAAACGAATTGATGAGAATTTTGATTTAATTTGATTTAATTTAATTTCACTATTCGTTGATCGTAATAGCTGCAATTTTCGCAACTTTATTTCCACGGATCATGCGATAGACATGGATCTATAACATTTCTTTGAAAATGTATTATTTACAATGGATAAAATTAAATATATGAATAGAAATAGTAAATTTGGAATTAATCACAAATCAAAAGAAATTGTAATACATAATTTGTGGACTACAGCAATCCAATAGTTAGAGTACGATACAATTTTAATGAATAAATAAATAAATGAGTAAATACAAATGAATAATAATTGAATATTTATCTAGTAATTCCTATTATATCCATTATTATCATATTTATTTCGATTAATTTCGATTAGAAATTAAAATGTAAGCATAAGATGAATAGTAAACAGTTCATAAAAAATTGTAGAAAACAGCTGTGTAAAATGAAATGAAATGAAATCGAGCAAATATTCAAATATAACATAATTAGCACAGATCTTTAACAAATATTAAATTAGTCAAGCTAAGACTAGTTAGATATGATAAAGCTAAACTATAATTTATGTTAAGAAATCAAATTAAATTCATTCATCAACATGAATCGATAAATAATTTTTATATATAAATATAAATTTTCGTTTCCTTATCCGTTTCTTTTTTTTTTTTTGCACATTTGGTATATTAATACATTCTTTGTTATTAATTACTATCATTATTAATTCTTAATTATTACATTTAAAAAAATAGAATATATTAAAAAATATATCAGCACATATTAAAAAAAAAAACAAAAAACAAAATAATAAAATTAAAAATAAATTATCAAGCAAATAGTTTTTTCTTTGCAACTCATTTTGTTCGTTTTTTTTTGATGTAAAATTATTTTTTTAACTCATTTTATTCATTTATTTCTATCAATGAATTTTTCAACAACAACAAAAAAAAAAATCTTTTTCCCAATAAATTTACTCTCTTTTCCTTAGTTACTCTCTGATTTCCTTTTATTATCCCATCATCTCATCCCACTACAAATCATTTCCCATCATTTTTCATCAATTATTTTTTCTTTGTCCAATTTTCACATAATTTCAAATTATCGTTCGCTTTCAAAAGTGATGAAGAAATATTATCCTACCAATAAAATTTTCCAATAATCTTCTTTTTTTCTTTGATTAAAACTTAGAATTTTCTAATATATATATCAAGTTTAAAGCCAATTTTCCTCATTCACAAATGTTTTAATTCATTCATTCACTTTTTAAAATTCACTTAATCCAACTTTTATCATTTTTATTTCGTTTTGTTTTTTTCTATCTAAAATATTCTTTTTCATTACCTTCAATAATATATTTCCTCTAACCTGGATAGTTTTTCAAATTTTTCAATTATTTTAAGAATTTTAATTGTTATTCATTGGAATTTTTAATTTTGATTTGAAATTCTTTTATTCAAAAATTTTCTTTCAAATTGCACAAATTCTTCATTTATTTCATTTATAAATTAATGAGTACTAATTATTAAAATATTTAGTTTATAAATAATTAATTCTGATTAGCATAATTCAAGTTGAGCTGATGTAAGAATATGAAATTTAAGAGGATTTTTTTTTTCACTTCTTTCTCATTTAAATTTTAAAATGATGAAACAAAAAATCCGGCATGTTATCACACAAAAAAATATAATTTAAATAATAATTAAATAGATAAATTAATTAATAGGATAATAGATCCATCATTTTTGTAAAAATATAAGTGATAAATTTGTTTATTTTTCTTTTTTCCTTGCCCATTTCTTTCAATTTTATATTTTTGTTTATTAATAAAAGAGAAAAGAAAGAAACTAAAAATAAGAAATAGAAAAAGAAAATTTGCTAATGAAAATAATTGCATAAATAAATTATTAATAAATAATAAAAAAAAATTTTTCAAAGCAATTCTTACTTTTTCTGTTCTTTTATTTTTTTTTTTGCTTATTGTAATTTTAATCTTATATGTTAAACAATTATAACACATTATGAGAAGGATATTATAGATAAATTTCACTGACCAAAAATGATGTTTGAATTTATTCCAACAATTATCCCGTGGGATTTGTTCTCTCCCTCTCTTTCCTTCCCTCTCTCTCTTTTGCTCTTTTTATTTTTGTCTTTATTACTACCTTTCTCTGCAAATAATGTTAAAAATTTTTTCCAATAGAATCTTAATATTTTACTCAGTATTTTTCTTTATTTTTCCAAAATATCCATTAATTGTTTATATTTTTTTATTTTCGTCATTCTTTTTCTCTTCCTCTCTTTTGCCCCTTTTTTCTTTCTTTCTCTGCTCCTTTGTCAATTCTATCACAAATAATTTAAAAATTTTAAATCGATATTTTAATTTATTCTTTTAGAATATTTATTATTTGTTGTACTTTTTCTTTTCCTTCCATCATTAATTAATGAAATTATAATTAATCATTTTAATATTTTCTTACAGCCTTTAAAAGCAGAAGAACATGTATTAAATATGTGTAAATTAATGCGAAATTATAAGGAATTTGGTCGAACAACGTCAAATTTTTCAAATCGTAATAATTCAAAAATTAATTCGGAACGGCGATTATCAACCGGTACACTTAACCGGTTAGTCACTTCCGGTTCTTGTTTTTTCTATTTCTTTTTTTCCTTCTGCCCTTTTTATTAAATATTATTTTAATTGAAAAAAAAAATTATTTTAATTCCTTTATTAAGTATTATTGTATTATAAATTATTTTGCTTCATCAAATATTTTGGTTTTATTTTAATTATAAAAAAAAGAGAGAAATTCAGATTAATTCTTGTTGCACAAGCATTGGAATCAGAAGTGCAGTATCGTCGACAAATTGATATAAATGGAAAGCGAATTGTTATTGCATTACGAACTATTAATTTGGTTAGAAACTTATTAAATTATATATTTTTTTAGACGTGTAAAAAAAATTGCTTCTAAAAATATGGAAATATTTGTTATTTAATTAAAAACTAAATTCAAATAAATGCATTTTAAAAATTAATGATATTATTGATTTTAAATCTCTTTTATATATGCATATAATTAAATTCTATCAATTATTTTCTTTTTTTATTAAAATTTTTTTTCCTCTTTTCTGTTTAACAATGTTTCAAGAAAATAATTAGTCGATAAATATTTAGAAATTTGCATGAAATTCAAAACTCATGCAAAAATGACTATGGGTGATGAATTCTAATTTAGGAAGTAATTAATGGAATTTAAAAGATGTTAAAGAAATTTAAAAAAAAAAAATAGCTGTAGATTGTGAATTCATAAAAAATAGTGACAGAGTGGAATGAAACAAATAAAAGAAGATTCTACTCGAAAATAAAAAAAACAAAATTTGCTATTAAAATTAACAAATGGTTAAATTAAGTCAACTTCTAAAATCATATGATATAATCAGCTCTAATTAAAATTTTCATAGTTATCGAAAGTTTAAGTTCAATAATAGTAGAGGCTGAAATATTTCTATTGTAAATTTTATATCTAAAATCTCGTAATCATTCTGTTGAGTTAAAATTTCCAAAAATTCTTTATTTAGTATGAGTTTCTTCTTCTCAGAAAAGCTAGGAAATGTTATACTTTAATAGTTAGTTTGAATTATTTAAGTAAATCAATTTATAGTTGCGAAATTTATCTCATTTCAAATGTTAATTGAATGTGTATTAATTAATAGTTTGGATGAGATAGTCAAGTTCCAAACTTATTACCATCATTATCTTTCATTTCAAAATTAATTTCTATCGTTTTATCAAAGCTCATTAGCATAGTTTACGATGCTTATTCATTATTTGTTAGCTTTGCTAGTCAGAAATGATTCAACAAATTCATTAATTTGGGAATGAATTTCCACTCTTTTCGACTTCCAAACTAATTGATCCTTTCATAGAAAAGCTGATGAAAATTTCTTTAGTAATTTTAATTTAATCAATTGTGACGAGAAGTAAAAATGAAAAGATCAGTCTAATATTTTTAATTTTTTTCGATTTTTGACATAAGAACGGTTAGTATGTGTGTATTAATTTGTCGAAAACCTATAATGGCTAAAAAAAAAAAAAAAAAAAAAAAAAAACAAATTCATTAAATTTTAAAATCATTAATATAAAAGAAAGAGAGAAAATAATGAGTAAAATTAAATAATTACAAAGTATCAAATGAATCAGTGTTGAAATAAGAATGAATTGTTTAAATAGTATCAAATAACAGATAGTTTGCATAACAAACAAATAATTTCAAATTATCTGGTTAATAATTAATTCAATAAAAATTTAAGTTGTTCTTCCTTCTTTTTTTTTTGTTAGAAAATTTCAAATGATGCAAAATTATTTATTCAATTAATTTTATTACTGGAAAAAAAAAAAACTATGTCAAAATTTTCATTTATATATGCGACCGCTATTAAATAATCAAAAAACAAATTTGTTATTAATTAATGATTAATTAAATTGTTTTTTTCTTTTTTTTTTTTTAGAAAAACTAACAATTTAAATTGTTTTCCTTTTTACTTTAAATTTTTTTCAGTTTAATTTGTTTCATTTTATCTATTTGAAAACATTATTAAATTATTGTTGTAAAAAAAAAAGAAACCAAAAAGAAAAGTGGAAGAAGAAAAAGTATCATTACTATTAGCTAAATTATACTATTTCAGTTACTACTATTTACAATTGATGGATTAATTTTGAGCGGTGTTGGACAATACCATTCGAATATTGGCGGTAAAAGATCATTGATGTTAACACCAAATAAATGGTATTTTAATATTTATTCAGAATTACCCGCAACATTTAGTGAAATGCGCTTGAATGGGCAATATTTTGCTACAGCTGTCACAACTGTCACATTGATAATAACGATTATTTCACATACCATACAACTTTATTGGTGCAAATATTCTCGTTTATTGGTAAATTTAAGATTTAAAATAGAGAAAAAAATTTTTTTTTCTCAAAAGTTATATTTATTAATAGAAAAAGAAATAGAAATGCAAAATTCAAAATCTTTCATTCAATTATTATATGAAATAAATATAAAATAGAAAAAAAAACAAATTTTTTTAACAATGATTTTATTCATTTATTTTTTCTTTTATTTAGCAGACATAATGATATTTATTTCTTCGTTAAAATATGTTTAAAATTTTACTTTCTTTTTTCTTTATAAAATAATGTTTAATTTGGTTATTAAAATAACAATTAAAGAAAGGAAAAAAAATGGCAAAAAATTTATATGCAATAAAATATTGTCCTCATATTGTAATATGTTTTTTTAGTTTCCTTCATTTTAATTTTTAATTTTGAATTTTTTTTACAAGGGTGATTTAATTTTTATCTTTTTTATTTAATATAAAAGTGTGTAACTCATTAAAATTAAAAGAATATATCAATGTAAAATGAAATGGTTGTAAGGTAGGAAGTTTTAAAAGCAATAAGAAGACCAGAAGGGATTAAATTTTTTAATAAATTTAATAGTTTTAAAAGTCTGAAAATAAAAGAGTGAGAGGAGAAAGGGTGTAGAACGAGAGAGAGAAAGAGAGAAAAAAAGGTTATCATAACTGATATGATTTATCATTTGAAATTGTATTCAAAAAATCATCTGAAATTATATTCTGAAAACATTTGTTTTATTATTTTTGCGAGTATTTGTAAACAAGAAGAGCAAAATTTAGAGTAATAATGTGCTGTGATAATGAAAAAGTATCATTTTTTGAAAGAGGAAATAAAACAAAGAATTATTATTATCTTTAATAATTATTTTTTGATTATTTTAAATAAATTAAAAAATTTATTAAAATTAATTTTAGATTTTTTATTTCTGTTCTTCACATTCATATGCATTTTTTTATTGATTTAAAAAAAAAAAAAAGATTTTTCTCATTCTTTGTCTTTTTATAAATCGCAAATTTTTTTTTCTGTTAAATGTTTTATGTTTCGAAATTTTACTCTTGAATTTTAATAACAATAGTTTTTTTTTTTTAATGATAAAAATTTTGCTCGTTTGATAATAATTAATTTTGCAAAATTTTGCTCATCTTTTTTTTTCATGATTATAATATTAAAATTTGAAATTTATTATCAAAGACAAAATGTATTAATTGTTTTTTGGATGATAATAATAATAATAATTAATTTATTAATTCCGAAAGATTATTGTAATTATTTGATGAGAAAAAGAGACGAATGAAGAGTACATAGTAACTAAAATAAAATTTTCATTCATTTTGAGCTTATAAAATAATTTGCATATTAATCAATGGGAAAGAATTGTAATTTTAAAACCTAAAATAATTAATTAATTAACTGATTAATAATGAATATTTTAGTGTATGTGTTATTCATTTTGTGCGGTACCATTTATGTTATTTGTTTTTGGCCTAGAAATATACTATAGCACTTGTCCGTGGATTAATGATTATTATCGGTTTGATATTCTACGCAGGGATTATTATAATTCAATGGAATCATATTTCGATATGCAATGTGGTATCAGTGGTTGGGCATTGGCTGCGGTATGCATTTATTTATTTATTATAAAAATTATTGTAATTTTTAAAATTAGAATAATTTTTCAAAATTTTATTTTGAAAAATAAAATGGTATTGATTAGTGAAAAAGAGAAAAAGGAAAAAATGATTTTATTTAAATAATCATTTTCATTTTTAAATGTGTTTAAAAATTTTCTCTTTTCTTCTCGTTTTCTTTTATTTATTTTTTTTATTTTAGATATTATCGGTGTTGTCATGCAGTTTATTTATTAGTGAGGGTTTGGTAAGCGCATTTTTTCGATCAGAATCTACTGGACGACATAATAAAATTGATGCCTTTCTCTAATGATTTATGCTATTGTTAGTTATTAATGATGAAAATTAATAAAATTATTTTTTAAATTTTGTTACTTCCATCAAAATTGATTGGAATTGTTTGATTAAACAAATGTTATTTGATTATATAAACTTGTTGAATTATGTGATGTATTGTTGCTCATTGTTTGTTATTTTTATACCAATTTTACGATACACTTTCTTGTTCATATTTAATTGTTTATGGTAATAGCAATGATAATAATATTTTTATCAATAACAGTAATATTACCGCTACTTTTGTGCATATCATTTTTGCTTGTTAAATTTGGTTTACATTGAATTAAGGAGATTAAATGTTAAATTTAAGAGCAATTTGAATAACTAAATAAGCAAATAAAATATCATTGATTTTCTCTCATGCATAATCCATTTTATACCATAATTTTCCCAAAATTCATTCTCAAATTGATAATAAACACTAAAATAGCTAATCGTTGATTATTGCTTAATTTTATCAAAGATTTGAAACGAGAGAAAAACCGAAAGCAAAAACTGGCGATGTAAATATTATAGTTTCCGTCGTTTTTTTTTTTTTTCGTAATTTTTAATCATAAAAACAGCGAAAAAATATCTTCCAAATTTATTTTCATGAATGAAAAATATTTCTAAAGTGAGAAGATAAATTGAAGTCGGAAGTTCATATTTTATTTTTAGTTTTCAATTCTTGATATATAATTTTTATTTTATCGTCTCTTTGCACTTTTTTGCAAAAAGAAATTTGTTTGCCATATGGTTTGAATTTTTTTCTTTTTTTTTTTGAATGCAAAAATAAAAAGTGAAAAGTTCGATGAATATACTATAAATTTTAAAATAAAATATCAAACAAATTTGTTTTAATGAAATATTTAACAGATGTTCAGGAAAAGTAAACCTTTTGCCACGTTAATTTCATTTATTTGTTGACTGCTTAATAGTTGTGAAAATATTAATTTTGCTTAATTAACTAACTGAGCAAAACTAATTTTGTCCAATTTTTTTTTCATTTTTTTAAAGAAATTTTTTCATTTCAGAACTTTAAAAATATTTTATTACTAATTCTAATTTTTTCATTAAGAGATATTCCCAACACTATTATTATTATTTTTGCACATCATCGACTAATTTTATTAAAATTAAATTTTTTTTGTTATTTAAAATGGATAAGCATTTTATGAGAAAGAATAATTACTTCTTTCAGAATTTAAAAAAAAAAACCAAGAAAAGCTGAGTTATTAATATTTTTAGTTCATAATCCTTAATTTTCTCTTTTGCACTTTTCTCACTTTTAACAAATTTCAATTTGGTAAATTGTTTAAGACTTAGAGTTAAATAATAAAAGTAGACGTATTGCAAAAAATTTTTCTGAAATATTAATTTATTATTTTTGATAACAAATAAATTATTTGTCATAATTGGTGATTAAATTTCATATTCAATGCATTACATTAATTTGTTATTGCAAATGCAAATACTGAAATTAAAAGTTTAATTTTACTTTTATTCTTTTTATATTTAATTTATGCATGGGTAAAAATAGCAATAATATGAAAGAATATGAATTAAAAAGTAAAGAAAAGATGGAATAGATTGAAATGGCTTATAGATTTAAGAAAAATCACTCATTTTGATTAATTCCGGAATAATAATGGGTGGAAAAATAATTTAGCAGATGAATTTTAATCCATTTCAGAATAATCAAAAAAGAAAACAACTGAGCAGAAAAAAGTTTTTCAATCAACAAATGATGAATGTCTGATAAAATCATAAAAATTGATTGAAAAAATCGAGAAAAGAATGATTAAAATTTAGGGCAAAAAAAATTAACAAATAAATGTTTAATCAATTCCGAAATCGCAAGTTATTGATTTGCAGAACAACTGAAGTATTAATGTATTATTTTTATTAAATAATCACATGCATGTTTGAAAATTTTAGCGCTTTTAAAATTCTTTAACTTTATTAATATTCGGGCGCAATTTAGTGTAACATTTTGCGCTTGAAAAATATATAAAATGTTTAGTGTCCATTTTTTTTTTTTTTAATAATTATGGAATTAAGAATTGGTAATATAAATTTTCATACAAAATTTTTATCAAAGTTATAAAAATAAACGATAGAAAAAATATTTGTTTTTTAAACTTTAAAAATTTGAAATGCTTCAAAAAAAATTATAAAAAGTTTGTAAAGGAAATAATTCCAGGCTCATTTTAATAAATCATTTGATATTCTTCAATTATTATCTTGCAACCTTTTTTTATTTAAAAATTTATGACATTTTTTCTTCCTTTCATATTTTGCGTTATACTTTAGGTTCCGCTCTGTTAGGCTTAAATATTTTTTAAGCCAAGACTTTCCAACATATTTAAAAGCAATAATTTCAAAATGTAACATATTAAATTTAAACGATCGACGGTGTTTTATGCTTTCATAATTGCCATTTGAAATGAAATTTTTGTCATGTGAAATTAATACAAAATTCTTTTTTTACTCATTATATGAATTAAAATTTTAATTCGATTGAATATTGCTATTATTTCATTTACATCTAATCATTCCACCCTATCTTCTCTTCTCGAAATTTTTTAATATACACTTAGAAATAATTTCTTAAAATTGATTGCTATTTGATATTTGAATTAACTGAGGATAAAAAGCAACTACTAACAGATAAAGTAATTTTGTAAAATTTGAATATTTACTGTTTATTTGATGGTGTGCTTTGGATACGGTAAGAGATATATGGTCGTAGAACAGTTTAAGTAATTTTTACAATTCAATTATCAAAACTATCGTTTTTGTCAATTGATGTGTCATGTTAAGTTGCACTTCTTAACTGGTAAATGCAATAATAGAATATGTAGTTTTATGCTGAATTTAATTTGTTCTAGAATTATTGACTAATTAAATTGTTATTTTCAGGTAGCTAACAATGTAAGAACAATGAAATTTTTAGGCTTTTTGTAAATGATTCGGAAAAAAAAGTGTCCTAAACATGAAAGTTTATAATTTCGCTGTTTTATGACGTATTTCTTGGCTGAATCATTGCTGTATAACTGTGCCTAAATTAAAAAAAATAGAGAAATAGTAGATCAGAAACGTTTCACAAATGCGAATTTTTCTTTTTGTTTTTTTAATGAATTTCTATTGAATTCATTGAATTATGCAAATGCACTTATTGATTTAAATAAATTGATCAATGAGAAAAGAAAGTGTAAAATTTTTAAATAAAAAAATAAAGAAAAGTTATTTTTTGAAATAATATGTATGGAATGCATAAATGATATGCAAATGCATGCAATTGCAATATTTCCAATCATAAAAATGAATGAATTTTTAGCTTTAATTTAACGTTTGCAAAAATCACTTCATTATCGAATATTTAAATTTTATCAATTATACTGTTTTACTTTAAAATTTAATAATTCATTCATATACATTAGCAATATTTATGAAATATTCACATTTTTCTCACAATATTTACTTAAGCTATTGAAATATGTGTTAGACTTATAAAATTAACAAAAAGGTTAAAAAAATGGATTATTCAAAATTAAAATAAAATCCCAAAAAAAAAAAAAAAAAAAAAAAAGAGACCAAAATTTGGTATTCATAAAAACAAACGTATCATATAGACGAATGATAAATTATAAAATTTATTATGCATAAATTTCTTCCAACATTTTTGTCATTTTGATACATTTCAAAAAAAAAAAAAAAAAGAGGAAAAAAAGAAAAATGATCTGTCACATTTGCCCTATTCTCTTTTCAACTTAATTTTTTCCTCCTTTTTTTAAAAAAAAATTTTTTGCATGTAATATATTAATAGTTGTAAAAAAAAAATTTTTATTTTCTACTTTTTTCGTTGTAAAAAAGTGCTTTAAAAAAATTTTAATTTACATTTTAAAGAAAAAGAAATATGAAATTATTCAATTGTTAAGCGAAATGTATAAATTTTCTCATCATAATGATTACTATGTAAACTAAAAACAAAAATAAAACAATCCGCTAAGCTTTTTTTTTTTTTTGCATTTTTTAGTTATTTTAAAGTTTTTTCAAGGATGAAAAAAAAAATTAGTGAATTAGTTGGTTTACAAATTTTGCATACTTTAACAAAATGATTAATGAGTATACATTATTTCATGCATTTATATGTATATGTGTATTTATCTTTGAAAAAATTTTCATTTTCTTGCTTATTTTTAGTAAAAACTTAAACATTTTTCTATTAAATTTTTGTCTTAAATTATAAATTTTGTAGTTAAGTTATTAATTTTTAAAAATAATCAATTGTTAATTTCTTTCTTTTTACACCAATAATAATAATAATAATAATAATGAAGATAGTAATAATAAGAAAACAGTAATAGTAATAATGAAATCCAAAGGAAAAATATTGTGATTGTTCTTTTTTTCTGTTATTTTATTTTTGTAATTTAATAATAATGTTTTTAAAAGATGAAAAAATAAACAAGAACACATATTTGTGCTTTTTTTTAACTCTTCAGTGTATAATTCATCAAAAAAAAAAGAAAAAACGAGCTAGAATTTATATCAATATTTTATTTTCAAATATTTGGAAAAAAAGTTACAACTACTATTCTCACATTCAATTTGTATCAGTTTGTTTTCTTCATTATTTTAAATTAATATTTAAACTGTAGCACAGTTAATTTGAAGCGTTTGTTTTTCAAGCCTTTTTTCCTTTTTTTTTTTTCACATTTTTTCTTGGTATTGAGAAAGCTGCTGAAAACTTAAACATAATTTGTATTTTATATATAAAAAAATTTTAAAAAAAGAACTGAAATTTTTTGATGATAACAAAAGTTTTTTTGATAGAGAAATATGAATTTGCTAACAACAAAATGCAATATTATTTTAAATTTTTAAACAACTAAACTCACAAAATCGTAAATTATGTATTGTTACGCAGAATTTGAGCAGGAAAAAAAAATTCAATTGCAATATTTCAATTAATAAAATTATATTCTC